AACATTGTTATTCATTTCTAAATAATACTGCAAATGAATTCAACTAGTTATCTTTTTCAGATCCTGATTTTTGACAACAAAACACAAATGAGAATGTTATGCACCAAAGATGTAATTTATTATGAAAACCAGAGAGAAATTTAACTAATATATTCTTCTCTGTTTACTATTATACAATTCGAAAGTGAATTCCAATTAATTTTTTGGAATGTTTCAGGTGATACATAAAAAATATTAAGAAGAAAATTATTCGAAAAGTATAGACGAATTAATAAAAAAAGTTTCTACAACTGAAATTGATCAGAAAACAGAAATCACGGCACATGTAGAATATATAAACATAGATTATGGAATAATTGATTAAGTTATTTACAATTTTAGACTGAAATTTTAACAATTAAAATAAGTAACTTACTCTTAGTTCAGGCGGCAATCCAGTAAAAGGAAAAAGTGTTTTCAAACATTAGCTGTTAGTTCAGAGCAGAATACAACTGTTTATCTACCCTAAATAACTTTATAAACTAAGGCTCCTCTAAACCAGGCTGAATCACCAACTTTTCATGCAGTCAAGTTTTTTTAACTGCTAGTTATTATACATAATACTTAATTTTAAACCCATTCTTATTAGAAAGCATAACTAAGAAACTTCTTTTTAAAGCACCACAGTGATTGCAAAAATGTTGTTAAATTTACAAAAGTATTGAAGATATATTGAACAGCATTATAACAAGAAAGTACAGTACAAAATATGTAAATTGCATAACTTCTTTTTTAGTATTTGCATAGTTTCCTCCAAATGAACCTTAATGGGAAGTTATCTTGCGAAAATTTAAAAATATTAAAATGGCCTCTATTTAAGATGTAACTGCATTTATAATTATTTTGTAATTGCGAATAGATTATATTATTGCAATTAGATTATGCACTTACAACATAATTGCATAAAGTAATGAAATTAAGAGTTCACAGATACAATGTAATATAATTACAATGCAATTACCTAAATTGTAATTATAATCACTTATTTAATACCACAATATTATTACAATCACAATGTAATTTAAATTGGGTACTATATTTGCATACCCTCCACTCAAAAGGAGGTAATGTAAGCCTGGAAGTTATTATCAACAAAAAGCCTGTTTCAGGACAGTTTGATGACAATTTCCACCGGGCGAAAAGTACATTCTTAAGCCCAGGCAAATCATGACAATAAAAATCATTTAGTCTTATGATTCACTATATTTTAAACCCTAAATTTGAATTCTGCACCAAAATTATTTACCTATATTTTAACATACTTTATGAATTATTAGCGATATGGCAAATATCTTCTAAAAATAACTGTAAAATATTTGTATCCATTAATTGATTCAGATACAACACACTTTTATTATTTAAGTATATCAAATAAACAGTTTCATGTTCCTGAAATACAAAAAGTTACGGAAAAGTTAAAGTAATATTCTTAGAAGCCTATGATATTAGTCACCAGATGCAAAATTATAGTTAATTTTTTGCCCTCCTAAATACAGTTTTATTACACAGTAGTCAAATGTGTAACTTAATAACATGTTATATAAAAAATTAATGATAATAAGTTTATCAGAAATGAATTAATTCTGCAAATAAACTTTCTGCACTTGAAAATTTTCTACACCTGAGGGGAGGGAGAGATCTAGTAAAATTAAATTTATAACTTCAGTTGGACCAAACACCTTCTCTCTATATATATGCATCACTAAAGAAATAAATAAAATTATCATGCTTAAAAAACAGATATACCATACCAGTTTTTTCCCCCTTGTTACCCTTTACATTGAGAAATAACAAACACTGAAAAATACTATCCTTGAAATTTTGTTTAAATGAAGAACACACACCATCTTTTTATTTAAGCATTACACTTCAAAAACAGATACACATACCAACTTATTTTCACTAGCCTTTATACTGAAAAATAACATGCCGTATAAAAATGAAAGACATTATCCTTGAAATTTAGATAAAATGAAGAAACACATACCATCTTTTATTCATGCATTACTAAAATGAATAAAACGATTATTCTTCAAAAACAGGATACACATAATATACAGGATACACATTCTGACACATATTCATGAAGATTCACTGAAACAGCACAATCATCCAGTACTATAATATAACAAAATGGAAAAATTTATGCACGATGGACATCTTTTTTCTATTGCATGTTGTCTGACATGATCCACAAGTGCCTAAAAAATGTACCCAATGAAACGCATTTCAATATTAACAAAAAATTGTTGTACAGATTAAAATTCATTCATTTCATACCAGTATTATAAAGATCATGCATGAAACAAATCTGCTTTCCCATACTTTTAAGTAAAACTTTTATACTGGAAAATAGACTATATTTCTATATATTAGAAACAAGAAATACTAATTTGAATGTTCTGCATTCATTTCTAAATCTTTACTCCATTGCCAAATTGTATAATACTGTGATTATAAATAAAACTTGCACAATACTTGCAATTATTGAAGTCAGATTATATATATTTTGTCTCACACTATTCAATTTATTCTATTGACTTCAGATGTTAATGTCAAAATTCTGGAAGTTATTTTAACCAAGAAACAGTAGTGGGCACCGTGCATAAACAACTCATCTAACTTTTTAACAATAGTGATTATAAAATAAAGAAAAAAATTATATATCATTCCAACGATATTGCGACTATAGTATAATGTTACATATATCTTTAGAAAACATTCAGATTTTATCTTGACTTTCCAAATTATTATTTATTTTTTAATAAATTTCAATATGCTAATGATTTTCATGTTACATTAGTATAAATTCCACAATTAGCACAGGCAAACAAAATCCGCGCTTTATATTTGAAGAGAAATTTCTTTTTCACATTCAAAACATCTACATTGGCGATGTTTGGCGACGGGTACATTAACACTAGACTAATTTAATTATAGCTATTATTACAGAAATAGCAGATACTACTCAGGTTATTGTACACAAGAATTTCACTTTACTTGCACATTATAAACATCAGAGAAGATATAAACTCTAAATGAAGGCGTAATTAATATTATGCTTTACTAAGCAAAGTTCAGCGCCTGGACCAAGGTTTCCAATTGTCTCTTCGGCAATTATTTACTCATATTTTTCTTCTTTCTTCATTTAGGAATTTTCTTAGGAAATTTTACCAATATATGACCTTTCGGTGAATGATTTGAACAATTAATAGCTGTACATCCGCCCATTTTACACACACACACACAAAAAAAAAAAAAAAAAAAAAAAAAAAAAAAAAAAAAAAAAAAAAACACAAAAAATTGTTGCACCGTAACTACACAGCCGCCATTAAATCTCCCACTTGGGAGCGCGAATGCTTGATGATTCAGCCTGGTATATAGGAGCCTTATTATAAACTGCTTGGATAAAGTGCAGAATCGCCAGCTTATTTGTTTGGCGCTTTTTACAAGAGTAAGAAGAATAGGCTTTTGTCAATTTTCTTTGTCTTAAGTGAAAATAGGTCGATGTGTACATGGATAAAATCAAGGGAGTGCGATATGCCATTTTTGTGCAATTCTGGGATTTTTTTAAGTGAAAATATCTCGACGATACCGAGTATATGAAATTCTTAAAAACGCACCAAGCAGTGGGTGATTCTGGACTTTTCTCAACTGCTTAACAGATAATGCAAACGCATCCAGTCTGCTTCAGAACACTCTTCTTTGAATTGAATTACGATGATGAATTCAATTTATAAGATACATCTCTAAACATTCATCCGAAGACATTACTTTTCGATCGCAAGATTTTTTAAGCGGTTGCACACAAGTAGCGGAAAACCAGCCGCTCGCTACGTCGCACGAAATGGTTCGATCGGTGCTCGAGGATTGCAGATTGTCGCTCCGGACGAAAAACTCGTCATATGTGACGTCATTCTCGTATCGAGATCTCGTCGCACGCTAGGAGGATACGGCCCTTAAGCCCGCATTTATCTAGACACCAGAGGCCACTGGAGCGAATGCGTCTTCACCATGGCAAATTCCATCTCAAGATCCACATCTATCTCCAACGGACTTCAGTGCGAGATGTTCTAAGCCTTCAACAGAAACCGCGACTTCTGACTTATCAGATGCTACGACAAGAACACGCTCGGGTCGTCGTGCTGGCATCAACCCAAAGTATTTGTAAGGTATCGTTAGCACCGGAAGTATTGTGGCGACCTGCCTACTACAACTCAACGCTGCCAGTCTGGTAACTCATAGCAACGAAAAACAAAATAATGTTTATTCTATTGTTAACGATCTATTTTTGTTATCATAGTTGCTTGTCCAGCTACTCTTTATTTATGATTGCTCAAAACCGCTTATTATACAAATTAAATTATACTTATTATTATTATATTAAAAGCAGCTTGCAATTATCTGTCTAAAAAATTGTACTACTGGCAAGGTTTATTTACATTTTTTAAATATATTTCAACAGGTTATTAAAATGAATACTTTTATTTCTCCCATCTTTTTGTTTTAGTTTGCTATACTGTTTTTTAAAATCTTAATTAAACCACGATATCCCAATTTTCGACTATTTTCCTTCTAAAAAAGCAGGACTTCGAGAGTCTCTTATCCTCCTATTCCTTTCGATAAATTGCTTATTTCCATAAATGTTCTATAAAATGCGTTAAGGTAACCTGTTTACTTCGTTTCTGTGAAAAACTGGGACAAAAATCCTTTTTACTCCCTTTTCCTTTTTCTTATTAATTATTATTTTAAAATACTTAAAATTTTCTTTTTGAATGTTTATCCAACATTATAAAGCTAGTTATAAATAAAACCAATATTTTCGTTTGATATCGAAAAAACAGCCCTGTCGCGATGGTAGCCTAAATTTTTCTGCGATTTCTTCAACATTGACTAAAATGAATTGGCAACAGTTGTGGAAGGCTATTAGTTACATGCCTTCTGGGTATAGGATACGCTCAGCAAAATAATTCCTGAGAAGGTCTAAAATGGCTGCTCTGTTAGAAGGGCAACAATATGGCCTATCCGCTCAGGACAAAATAAATAGTAATAAATCATTAGTTTTTGTGAAATTAACTGATTCGGCATTGAGATCAATAGAGGAATATGTGAAAAATAAGGTAAGAGATATCTGTACTGCATTTTTGCTGCAAAAATGAGTCAAAATGTATCTGTCTGGAAAAATACTTTACACGTCGCTGCTTATTTTGTTTTCTTTTAGATCAAATGTCATTGTAATTTCAATATGCATCCTGAGACAACTACTTATCATTACTAGAGTTTAATATTTTTGCTACGTGGTAAAAGATTTGTCAACATCGATAAAAATATTGATGGAACAGATGTCAATCGGCTGAAGATGCATACGTGTTAGCTGATTATTTAGCTTATGTTTACAACATTGAAAAATGTTAGAATAATTTACTAATAAAAATTTGAATATATTATATCTGGGGAGTTTGTCAAATTTAGAATTAAGCTGAATTTTATTTTCTGGCAGGAAATAGACTGTGTGTTTGATAGTATTGTAGTACAGTATTGAATATTACTGTACAGTACAGCATATTTTTGCGATAGATTGATGTCATTCGATTAATTTATGTGAGAAATTTAAACATGTATTGTAGCTGTCATTTTAGTTTTTGAATAAATTATTTGAAAATAATTTGCTTCCGATTAGAACACTTGTTTGCTAGACGTTTTATTAAATGTCTCGTAATTCTCTGTGTTTGAGTTTGTTTATAATCAGGCTTTAAGATAAATTTTGTGAGTTTTTTATGAGATATGTATCGTAAGAAGCTTATTTCAAATTTCATGTTTTGAAAATGAGACCAGCTGAATTAAGGTTTATTGACCCTCTATTAAAAACAAAATTTTTAATTGCATTACAGAGTTAAGTGACATCGAAACTTTGTCCGAAGTTTTGTATAGGTAATTTAGAAGAGGAATTTAAATCTTATTTCGTACATATAAATGCCAAATACAGGCGAATAATGAAAATGGGTGTCTTTATTACACTGTATTTCCATATAAACATACGAAACATATATTTAAGTATCTGCATTTTTTGTTATTCAGTATGGGAAAAAAAATGAAACTGTCTATCCATATGTCAGTGTTTTAATGATACAGTGGATAAAAATACATATAATCTAGTAAAATTGTTTTTAAATTCCGTATAGTATTATTAAAACTTCATTTTCTGGTACTATAAATTGTTAATTAGCTATTATATGAAATATATGTAATGATTTTTCATAAATATCTACTAATATATTAGATTTGTGATTGTATTTTTCTTTTTTTCAGGGGGATACTATTTCTAGGCCTACAATACAATTTCAAAATAGCAATGGGGTGAGTAATTTTTTTTTTATCCTGTGCCATATATTCAGGTTTTGATGTAAATATCGTGTTGTCATGACAAACTGAGTTTTTACAAAATTGATCAGTTGTATCACATATCCAGGATTAGTCAGTGTTCTTAGCTTATGCTGTAGCTGAAAATTGAGTTAATAAGATAATAGTGGTATTGGTTATCAAAGAAGTAATATTAAGCAGTAACAAGTATATAGGTTTTAATGATGATTATTACTAAAAGTATGGGTTAATACTTTAATCTTTATTGATTTTATTTAACTTATGAGCTATAAAAATTTCAAAATGTTACAAGATGAATGTTTTTCAATATATAACTCTCAAACTGAGTAATTTTGTTTGTGTCTTGCTCATGATCTGGTCTTTATGCTTATTACAAAGAAAGTTTTTATAATTTTCAGATAAATGTTATTTCTTAGTTATATGTAATCTGTAGGTATATGTAAATGTTTAATACATATCTTCCATGGGGTTTCTTGGGTAGGGGAAAATAAGGCAGTATTCTTTGGTAAGGGAATAGAGGTGTTGTGTGTATTATTTGTGATATGATTAAAAATTTTTAGTTAGCAAAATCAAAAAAAAAAAAAAAAAAAAAAGTATAAGTATGGAAATTTGGAACTAAAATAATAATTTAAATCTAGCTCATGATCTCATTACATAAGTCAGGAATGTACACAACAAAATATACGATTTCAAGACGCATATTTGCATTTTCCAGTAAAAGAGTTTGTCTTGTTTTTTAAAATAAAAAATGCCAGTAGTACAAACTATTGTATTTTCCAATCTCCTCCCCACCTGGCTAAGCATACAAATGACAATAACCAAGCCATATGGGTGAGTACTGTGGATTTACATACTTTATATTATACTTTGCATCATTCACCTGCTATAAAAGTGCAAATATCAACCACATAGATTTTTTCCCTCTAAAAACATAGTTTTTCATAAGATACTTGTTATTATTTGTAACAGAACAGTACCTGTAGATTTATGATGATAGCTAAAAAATGCTTTTTGCCAACCCACTAACTTATCAATGAGTTGGTGACTTTCTGAAAGGGAGGTTTGCATATAGTCAAAAGTTACACATATCACTTTACTCTGGCATGAGGAAAGAACTCGTAAAAAAAAAAAAAAAAAAAAAAATGTAAACTAATATTTGTGAGTGATGTAATTTAATAAACTTTAATTAATAAGTCTATCAAAAATGAAGTAATATTAAGCAAGTATTCTAATTGTAAATTTAAGCAGTGTTTAACCTTTTGTTTAGGTTGTACAGAAATGAATGACACAAATGCGGCCACAGAGCAGAATACTATTTATTAACAAAAAACAAATAGTACATCAGTTAGAAATAATGCTCACCCAAGTCAATTAAATTCTGCCATCTGGCTGGGAGGTCCTGGAGGGCTTTGGTAAAGCAGTTTGTGGTGGTGTCCGTGCACCACCTATGGAAAATTGCATGCAATTCGTCAGAAGATTCAACATGTTGACCGACTGCTTCCTTCTTCTTTTCAAACAAGGCATAGTCCGAGGGGGCCAGATCAGGCGAGTACAGAGGGTGTGCAACACAGTGAAGCCCAATGCCTCGAGAGTGTAGTAGGTGTTCTGGCTGGTGTGAGGACGTGCTGTGCCATTTGCTAGATGGCACTCTTGAATGCGCCGTCGCAGCATTCTGCAACCTCACAGTACCAGTTGCTGTTGATGATGTACCCAGGCTGTAGCCAGTCCACGAGAAGAATGCCCTCAGCATCCCAGAAGACTGTTTCCATTTGTTTCTGCATGTTCAACATCGGCCTAGGCTTCTTGGGATATGGGCTTGATGCATGCTTCCACTCCATGGAGCTACATTTGTTTTCGAGAGTGTCATGCAGAAACCATGACACGTCCCTGTCAGACAGACCAGACAGGCGAAGAAGTCATCCAAATCGCCATCATGTAGTGCTAGAAGTTCTTTGCAGATATTGACATGCTTCACCTTTTGTTGTAGTGTGTGTGCATGAGGCACACACTGTTATCTCCAAATCACCATGCGCGATCGCCTGCAGTGTTTCTCGCGCAAGCCTCTTTCTTCATCTCATTGAACATTATGTGCCTATTCACTATAATCAAATCTGACATGGCTGCGACATTTGCTGCTGTATGCAATGCTGCTGGTCATAACCTGCTGACATCTTTGGCTGCGGTCTCCACTCCACTGCTGAACTTGACCAACCAGTGTTACACGGTACACTTTGAGGGTGTTTTATTCCTGCACATCAGCACCATGCGACGATGGATTTCACTACCCTGTGTCTTTTCCTTCTGTAGGAACCATGTTATCCACTGCTGACCGTGATAGTCACTTTCCATTATTGCTGTTCATGCTTTCAATGATGGCAGCGAAAAGGATGGGCGCTGACTTATGCTGTTTGACTGAGGCCAGTGCCATCTATGGTTTCTGAGTAGTTCATGTCCCCTTGGGTCTTTTTCATTTGTTTTCTCCTGTCGCATCGTGTAATAGTTTCATTTTGAGAGCCGTTGCGTCAATCATTTCTGTACTATCCAAGTAATTATGAAACACCATGTTTAAGCTGTTTTAGTTTAGAGGTTTATTAGTTTAGAGCTTTATTAGTAACTAATAAGCAAACAGCTTTATTAGTTTAGAGGAAGATTTTTTAAGATAATTGTTTTGGATTAATAAATGGATAAAAAATATAAAGAAAGTTCAGCAATGTTTGTCTATTAGATATATAGCAAAAATATACCTCAATCTTGTGAGTGGTTCACAAACTTGGCATTGCACACTCCCTTGACTTTGTCCATGTACATTGATACTCGCCATAACCAAAATTATTCGTGCGAAGGGTGTCGGCTCTGCTAGGATCCAACACTACTTTTATTTAGTCACATGACTTGTTGTCACTTTATATATGTTATATGATTACTTAAAATATTTTGCTACTTGTTGTTATAAACAGTTTAGATGATAGTCTAATGAATGAGAGATTATAAAAACAGTAAATTAAATAATTATGTAAATTAATTAATATAAAGCAGGTACAGTTTCTGAACTAATATAAAAGATCTGGTCACTTAGTTGGTTAAAAAGCATATACAGTCAAAAGTCGTTAATTCGGACACCCGTAATCCGGAATGATCTATAATCCGGACCTCAAAGCTAAAATCTTTCTGCGCATGCGTAAACTGCATTGACGCACGCGCATAGGCGTTTTACTCGTGCGCATCATACATTTACGGACTGCGCATATGCGTCTGCGCAAGTTCGCAGAATACGTTTTCGCGTGCGCGTTTAATGTATGAACGGACGGTATAAGCTAAAATTATCTAATTATCTATTTCAGTTAATGTTGATAATTGCGTTGTTCCTTAATCTTCAAATTGGATCCGGCTTATTATTTTTTGCAGACTGTTAGAGCAATTTTCTAAAAGTAAGCTTGAACTTTCGATTATGTCAAATAGAATTTCCGATGCTGCAGCTCCCAAAGGATCTAGAAAACGAAAGTATGTTTCGATGTCCATCAAACAAAAAACGAATGGCTACAAAAAATGGATAAAAGCATATCCTTTGTTTATCTAACCGTTCCGAAATCTGTTTATCAATTTCACGCTGCTTTGCGCGGGGGCACGTCGCGGCGCGCAATGAATTGGAAGTTGATCTGTCAACACTATCATTATTTTCAGGGCAGATGTTTTTATTTTAGTCGGCTTATAATTCCTTACTAAATGTAGTATTTCATTTCGATGTACTCCGTCTTTGATATGATTTAAATCAAATTCCTCGTCATTATAAATATCACGAATACAAATCACATAGTTTTCTGGTTGCAATTTTCTAATTTCGGCTATGAGTAAGGTATGCTTTACGCATCCGCGCGTTAAAGAAATGTTTAATAAAGTAAACAAATAAATATTAGGCTTCTTTTTTGGTAAATTTGGATACCCTTTAGATCATAATTGCTCATTATTTATAAATTACGGTTTCATATTTTTAATTTTATAATTTCTGCATGCCATCTTACCAGATTTAAACTGATGATCTATAATTCGGAAAAATCGATAATCCGGAATCGCCGAAGTCCCGACGAGTCCGGATTTAAAGACTTTTGACTGTATATAAAATAATTTAAAAATAAAAGAGTTTATGGCTTAGGGAAAAACTAGTAATGCCGAAATTTTGTACGAGTTGCATGCTTTTAGATGTGTTTAATTTAAAATTTTTAAGAAAATATTACTTCCAATTTAAACATATACTAAGAATAAGTTTAAAATGAATGATTTCTTGAATAGTGTATATTTTATTTTTATGAAAATCAATATATATATATATATAAGATAAAAATATGTGAATCAAAATTATAATTTAAACTAACTGTAAAACATTAATTCTCCCTCTCTAATCTAAAAATCACAATAACTTCTGGATTGCATTTCTAGATCTTTTCTTTTCCTTCTTTTTTTGCATGGCCTACGTAGCGCTGATGACGTAATAATTAAGAACTGAGACTACCATTATAAACCAAAACTTTTCTCTTCGCATGCTTTCATCTTTCATAACTATGTACTTCAGCTTCTGTCTGTGCTGTTCTTGGACGCAATTTTGCTACGCTGCTTCCTATTGCGATAATATCAATAATGTAAACGTTCTTGAACAGGCATGATTAGGGTTCCAAGTGATCTGTGGTCATAATGTCAATTCGAAATAAAAATGGAATTAAAATCACCTCGACTGCCAAGTTTTATTTACGAAGTCAACACATTAGCTTACGACGCAATCAGAATACTTCCTCTTCAATATAGGATAACTATGCATCAACACTGCTGCAGCTTTTCCTTTTCTTGTGCTTTATGTCAGTTTATATATATAAAATGAGAAAACTGTAATAAGAGGAGTTCAATTATGGAAAAATAACCAAACAATAAATTAATGATGTTTTTTTTTTTTTTTTTTTTTTTTTGGATAATTCCATCAGTTATCT